GGAGGAGGAGGAGGAGGAGGAAGAGAAGAAGAAAAGCAAATATTAAAAAGAAATTGCATGGGCCAGGGATTTAGCCCGAGTTCGATCCCCGGTACTCAAAAAAAAGAAATTCCAAATCATTATAAACTTCTTACACTTTTAAAAATATTGGAAACTGCTGCTATAGAGAAATGCAAAACATGAAGTCACTAATGGGTGGGTACTTTGCTCAGGAAGTATTTGGAGGAATATTAGATTGAGAGTGCCTTGGACACTTTTCCCTCCAGAGCTGAGGTCTCATCACATCGGTGTGTACAGGAGTTTGTGTTTTTATCTCCACCTTTGATATAAAAATACCTAAGGCAAAAGAGCCTTTACTTTCATTATAACAAACAGTATTTGATTCAAACCTACGATGGCTTGTGTCTAACAGTGAATGAAGCACAGCCCTTACCTTCAACTTCATCAGCATGCCTCTAGTACGTAGTATAACTCCTAGGACATGGTAACAAGTGAATTATTTATGAACTGAAAAAAGAACAAATGAATGTTGCTAGTGGAAATGAAAATGGTATAGCTCTTGTGGAAAATAGTGCTGTGCTTTCTCCAAAAATTAAGTCTCCCTAAAATTTAACAGAATTAAGGGTGGTGGCATAGATAACTGCCAAAACACCTAACTAGCACTCAGGAGGCCCTGGGTTCAATCTCTAATACCACACAAAATTTAAAAACAGAATCACTATATAATCCACAATTCACTTTTGGGCATATACCCAAAAGAAATGAAAGTGGTATCTTAGATCTCTGTGCATTTATGTTCATAGCAGCATTATTTGCAATGTCCAAAAGGTAGACTAAAGGTATGTATTCAGTTGACAGAAATGGGTATGCAAAATGTTATTTTAATACAATGGAATATTACTTAGCCTTAAAAAGGAAGAAAATTCTAACACATGCTATAACATGGATAAACCTTAGGACATTATGTTAAGTGAAATAAGCTATATACAAAAAGATAAAATTGTAAGTTTCCACTTACATAAGATTCCTAAAACAGTCAAATTCATAGAGACAGAAAGTAGAATAGTGGCTGCCAGTGACTGGCAAGGGGACAAAAGAATGGATAATTATTTAATAGATACAGAATTTCAGTTCAAGGTGATAAAAAAAGTTCTAGAGATAGATGGCGGTGATGGTTGCATAATAATGTGAATGTACTTTATAACCTGAACTACAAACTTAAGAATGGTTAAAATGGTAATTACAGTGGTATCTGAGTTCATGAACTTAGTTCTTCCCATGACTCTGGTAGAAAACTGAATTGGGTGAAAACCAAATCAAATTTCCCAATAAGGTCAACACTGAATAGTGTGTGTGT